AAAAAAAAATTGATAGCCCTTATTGCATGCAAAACACAGCCATTAATTATCAAAAAAATGCTAAACAACAAACAAAATAGAATCTTACTTCTTATTCTCGGTTTTGTTGAGCACAAGAAATGCAGCCCCAAAAGCACCTCTCCCAATCTGCTCGATAACTTCATAGCCGTCCATCTTGGATTCCAAATCCCCATTTTCAGACTCCATTTTGAACCCTTCAAAACCCAAAAAAAAAAAAAAAAAAAAAAACCACATGGGTCAGCCCATTTTCAGCTAAAAATCCAGTCTTTGAGCAAAAAATGACATTACTGAGCTTGCCCACCTCCAAATTATCAAGAAATTCGAGAAATGTAGAGTGGTTTCTCCTCTTTCCTTCCCCCTTTTTTTTTTAATTTCTTCACAGTAGCTAGCAACTTAAATGAAATCTTGGTTCTTGAAATTTATTTTGAGTGTGAGTTATAGCTCCCTCGTGCTTTTGTCAAATTTATGCTGTGAGGTCAAGCGGTACAATTAGAGCATCCACAATGCTTTGGGTCTCTTTTTGCATATGTGGCAAATAAATAGACTTAAGTCCATAATGACATGGACAAACCTAAACTAAAAAAACCAAAATCTATCCAATACAAAACCAAAAAGTACTAGGTCTAGAATACATGACAACCAATAAAAATGCTCTAGTATATTTTATTTATTAAAAGAAAAATTAAATGAGGAATAAATGATGAGTGTTTGGGTTTGTACTTGGGTCTAAAATAGACCCAAGTGTGGACTAGGTCTCATTTTTTTATTGCCACATAAGCTAGACTAGGTCCACTTTTAATTGCATTGGAGAACAATTTTTTATAAACTAGGTCTATTTCTTACATGGCATGTAACTTTTTTCTAAGAGACCCAAAGCATTGTGGGTGCTCTTACGGCACCAACCCACAACTCCGTGTGTGTGTGTGTGTGTGTGTGAGAGAGAGAGAGAGAGAGAGAGAGAGGATGTGTTGGTACTTGGTTGGTGGTGTTTGGTTAAAGATGCACTCTAGCATATCATAGGCACAGTTATATATAATAATGGATTTTGGGGTTGATTTCAGGCCAAAAGCTATATGCATAATCCTAATTCATCTACTTGGTCAAAGTAAAGAAGAATGAGAGGAAGATTCTTGAAATCCATAATGTAAATTGAACAAATTTCCTCAGATTCCCCATTCCATATGATGGTATTTTTTGTGTAATAATATTATCTGATCTGATGATATTATCTTTTACTAATTCAGATCTCATGTATAATTCTTTTCTATCAACTCCCTGATATAATTTTTGTACAGTTTTACTACAGCTAGGTGGGACCTAATGGTATTCGATTCGATAATTTAAAATTTATTCTTATAGATGTTAAAACTGAAATGTCATACTCTAAAAAAATAACATAAAAAATGCATAATGTTTCATATTATAATTATGCATTTTTGTTACAAAAGTATGACGGATCGACTCTGAGTAACAATTAGGTTGTCTAACCCCCAAATTCGTGTTCTTGATATATGGCTGTTTAACCATATTTAGCTTGGATTTGGGATTATTGATTCATTATAATGAAATAAAAGACTTGATATAAAATGAATTGTGACATATAGTAACTCTTCATTACATTTTTTAGTCCAAGCATTATAGTATATTATTGTGCTGGAAAAGGATAAATATCATAAGAATGTGATGGTAAAAAGTTAATTTCAATGGATATAGTTAATTTCATATTATTTATAATTTTATATCTACTTATATAAATCCCTATATGCAAATATACACGAGCATATTTGACTAGGAAGTGTATTGCATACTCCTAAATCACAACTCAATGGACCTTTTATAATCATTCTTCTGGCAAACATATTTGTGTTGGAATAATAATTAAAAGAGTTGTAAAGTATAGTGTATGACGAAAGGTTTTTTTTTTTTTTTTCGGTGATCACGAAAGGTTTTTGATTGTGTTGAGGCTATGTTTGGTAAAACTAGTCGATAAGCTAGCTTATAGCTTATATGAAATTTTTGAGCTTATAGCTTATGACTTATAGCTGAAAAGCTAGCTTATATGATAAAAGTGTTTGGTAAATTAGTTAATAACTGAAATATAAAAATTAACTAGCTTATTTGAAAAGCTACCTAAAGTAGCTTATGAGATAAGTTCGAGCTTTTTAAAAAAGCTCGTCCTACCAAACGAGACTTATTTTAATATAGAGAGCTTATAAGCTAACCAAATAAACTATAAGCTAGTTTATTTGGCTTACCAAACATACCCTGAGTGTAGTATGGGAACCAAAAAATTGTTGCTTCTATTTCACATAATCTCGAGAAAATAATCAATGCTCATTCTTAATATTTTAGTTACGAATATCGTGGTTGTTATTAAGTATATATATTTTTTTAAAGAACTTTCAAATTAAAATATCATATATAAAATAACATGAATGAAATTGACATTTCATGATATACGTATGCATTTGTATTAGAAAAATATGTGGTACAGAATAATAATTATGATTATTATTACTGTTATTATTATCATTATTAGTAGTAGTATTTTTATTATAATATTTTATTATTATTTCCTTCTTTCTAGTTGGTAGGAGAATATTTATTTATTTGGTATTTATTTATTTAGCAAGATAGAGATTTAGACTTGAACTCTATATATTGTGTCCTTCTCCCTTCAAGCCGATGAGCTATCTTTGAATAAACTTATCGTATTTTTAAGATTTTATATCTTATTCCCCTTTCGTTTATCGTTGCGCTACATCAGTTGGTATCCAGAGTTAGCTACGATCCACGATGCCGCCAAAGAAGAACGATTCGGCTGACGACAGACGGGATGCGGCGATA